TTTTTTTTCTTCGTTTCTCCCGAGCTGTAGTTTTGATTGATAAGATATATCAAACACTTAGAACCATGTTTGACCACATTTCTAAACACCTCGAAGTTCGTCAAAATACTCCGCCGCGCGTCGTATTTTCAAGTCTCTTCTTAGTGTTTGGAAATGTGGTCAAACACGGTCTTTCGTGTTTGATATATTACGTCAAGCCTTCCGTGTCTACCTATCTACCAGTCTTAGGCGCCGGCGTGCTGTGTTACTGTCCAATACCAATGTGAGGGAAACGGTCGAAATTATTAGCGCTTTCTGGGTAAGGGTCGCGAGAATTTATAAGGATATATTGCTTTCCAGTGCAGTCTGGATATTCTTATCTTTTCTGCCGATTTTAGGCTAAAAATATTCTTGTGAATATTCTTAGATTATAGCGTGTGTCATTGCTGTTTTCGAATGTATTTGGTGTCTTATGATGTTAAAGTAATTTTGGAGTGATACGCCACACAACGTCTTGCAGAAATCTCATTAGCATCAAACGTACGGCTGATGCTGAGTTATGGCTAGTTCTGCTGTTTAGAGAGAGGAAGAATTTTATACCGTTTAGTTAAAAACATATAATTGTACTGTATTATTTTACAAATTTTCAACACACAAAATTAAATTCTTTTCAAAATCTCAGCTTCGGGTTTATTCTTAAAATATTCTTTAAGCTTCGCAAGTTTCAGCCTCTATATTCTCATAAAACATATTCTCATAAAGAAGAAAGAGAGTAACGACTAAAGGTGTTTTTCTTTTGAGCTGTCATTAGTAACCGAAATCAGGTTAATAAAATTAATTTGATAAGCGATCAACGCGGAATACCAATTCTGGGCTTGAGAAGAAAGAAAGGTAGAAAAACTTTTCAGTAAATTAAGACGTTTCACACTTTTTTAACCCCAATGAAACAGTTTTAATGTCGTAAAACCAATAAATCACCTTTGTTAGGTGGATTTTTTGTTCAAACGAGGTGAATTCGTTATCTATATGACGATTGGGGAGTGGCACATTGTGGTGAGGGCGCTCAACTGCCAGCAATGTGGCCCGGGCTCGAATCCAGGGTTGGTTCTGTCCTTGCTATTTTGTACTTTATTCAACGGTAAGAAATGATAATTAAAAAAAAAACACTTGCTCCCTCAAAGTACTTGACCTACTAAGTTAGGTGACCATTAGTGAAATAAATTTGATCTTTTTAATTCAATAATTTCTTAATTAAATTTTCTAAATTTACACAATTAAACTAGTAACGCTGAAATTCGCACAATAATATCAAAGTTTTCTGACATCACTGATTACGCTTTTATATATTATATCATTTTGATATTAATACGTTTTCTCTATTCTTTTCCATCCTTGTTTCTACAAAAACCTTGATGTGCTTTATAAACCAATCTGGTATGGAATGAACAAATACCTATGTATACTTTAAATAACTAAATGTTACATCTAGACCAAAGCTTCTCCCTTCAATAAGGTTCTATCATTTTTTGCAAAGCAGCTTCTTTGTAAAAGTCCACAGGCTGTGCACGTATTATTTAATAATAGCCTTAACGCCCTGGAAGTTTTATATTCTTTTTCAGAACTAGGCAAGTAAACAGGCGACAACAGTTGAAGTGAATTGTCGAGGTATTTCTCTTCTTTCTCGGCCAACAGATTCTTTTTTGGATGATTCCACAGTCACTACTTCGTAATGTACTCGGTGAAGTCTGTGAGACCGCTGACCGGTACAGATGTCATGCGTAGTCCATGTGATAGGGGAGATATCTTCCCGATAGGACTGCTGGGTAATGAGAAGTTCTCCGCTGCTGCCTTAGTGCGCACGCGCTTAATCTGACGTAATCGTTCGAGCCAGTTACAGCCGTAGGCGTCTGTGGGCCGCTTCTGACTTTGATGAATAACAGATGCCATCTGAAATATGAGAACAACAGCCACTGTAAGAGGGTGTTAAAAGCACAAACCTTTGAGATCTCACAAAAACAAACATCTTGTGTTTGAAAACTGTGCATTTGGCCGTTTTAAATGTTTTCCTTTGTAGTGTTGTGTTTCTTTCCCCAAACACTTTTTGTCTTGTTTGCGCTAATCATTAGTAATATTACATTGAGCTCTTCGTGTTGTTGTTGTGGTTTTGGATAGCGCCGTGGACTCCAGATCAAGCGGTTTGGGTTTGAGCCCTGACAAGGGTCATTGTGTTGTGTTCTTGAGCAAGAAACTTTACTCTCACAGTGCCTCCCTCCAGCCAGGTGTATAAATTGGTACTGATGGATTTAACGATGGGGTATAACGCTGCGATGGACTAGCATCCCACCCAGGGAGGAGTAGAAATACTCCTAGTCGCTTCATGCTACAGAAACCAGGACAAGCTCCGGTTGAATGGGCCACTGACCTGACGTAGACTTCACTTTCTTACTACCTTCTTGTTGTTGTCGCTTTTGTTGCTGCCATTCCCTACCCGGTACACCCTACCAGGTGCTCCTTACTCCTACCCGGTGCTCCTTACCCCTTCCCGGCTCCCTACTCCCGTAATTGACAACTCCGAAGTGTGCCCCGCAGTAACGCACAAGAAATATCAGCAGGCAGAAAATAAATACCATACATATACCATATCATGAGCAAAGAAAGCGTAGAGAAACTTTGGCCCCTTCTTCAAAACTTGTCTTCATCTGTAACAAATGCCAATAATTCACGCTAAAATAATATAAGGAGTCTTTACTCACATTGATATGTACGACAAGCTGCCTGACTAGGCGAGGAAGGTTATTGTCCGAGATGACTCGCGTGCCTGTGTCAGTGAGCAAATCCTTCAGCTCATCTTTGAACCTCACGGTTACCATGTTGGATGCGTTATCAAGCGGTTTAATCAAAACTTCAGCAAAATTAAACTGGCCCTAGAGTTGGGGAGAAATCCGTCAGAGCTCGCAGTAATGTGGAAAATACAATATCCTTTATTTTGTAATGTGTTTACTTCCTTGAAAATACAAAAACCGGACGACATCCATCGAGAACAGTGTCCAAACGTTTCTCTTTCCTCGGATCCTACGGGCAAGAATTATTTCGCTTTTTTCTCGCGACATAGAGATCTCTCGAGACCTTGTCAAAACTATGATTTACGGAAAGCTGAAATAACCCTGGATTGACAGTTAATTTGATAAGCCCGCATAACTTGGAAACAAAACACCATTTTCCTAGCCTCCTTATTCTTATGGCCCTCACGCACTTGTTCCAAACGTAGGGGAGGAAAGATTGCGTGACGAGCTCAAAGTGCGTCTGCGCAGAAGGATAAATCTTACCTTGATTCTGCCAAACTTGACCGCCTGTTGAGAGTCGTTATACACGATAGTCACAAAGTCGTTACCAATGTGCATCTTTTTCGAGTTGCAGCCTGGGTCCGAGTCTCTAGTCGGCATCAAGGTAGCCACATGGAAAATAACTGAAAAAAGAAAAAAATATTATCAAAAAAGAAAAAAGATCTTTTCCTACAGGGCAAAAGCAACAAAGACATCATAACTTCATAGCTAATTAGCTTCTTGCATGCTCATAATACGCACGTTTTATCACCACAAAGAAAAAGAAAGAAAACCTGAAATCGGCCATTTCTAAAGACAGGCTGTGTACTTTATCGCTAAAATTTCTGAAATTTCAGTCATTAATTTTTTTTTTTTCAGTAAACTATTTTATCCAGCTTGCAATTTCACAAGTTTTATTCTCTTTCCTGTGAAAATACACTACACTATTTTTACCTTGACAAATATCATCCTGCCAACTGTATGCAAATTCACCGTCCGCTCCATTCCTGTCCAGTCCCCCGGTGTAGATCTCGGCTGGCGGACAGTCCCTCAGCCGAACTAGCGTCCCGAGACCCGAGAGAAACTTCATGTAGCGGGAAGACCCGTAAACATTACGTAAGATCGCTGCCTCGTTGTCGTGTTGCCCAGGCCCCACATAGATGACTCCGATCTTGTGCGTATCATACGGAGGAATGCGGTCCAAGCATTTGATAGCTCGCTCAATAACCTAGGCCAAGAAACACAACAAATACTACTGGATTCTTTTCGTCTAATCAAGACTGAATTCAAGGCTGGCACTACGGCAGAAGGGCTGGTTTATTGAGTCTTTCTCAAGGCCGGGGCTATGATGTCCTATATATTAGGCAAGGGAGAATGAAATCACTTTTCATAATGGTAGTGTACGCTTGAGTATCAAGTGATCGACACTGCCAGCCCTGTTGCACGAAGGGGCCAGTAGTACTCCCACTCTCTCCCCAGACGGGATGCTGGCCCATTCGACAATCACTCCATCCCCTATAGGTTTTTCCGTTTTCTCTTAGAGATCAACACTAGCAATTTATACACCTGGATGGAGAGAGGAACTACAAGAGTTAAGTGCTATGCCCAAGAACATCATACGATCACTTCGGCTGCGTTCCACGAACGCAAAATGTCCAACTCTTCTCCACCCACTTTTCCATTCCTACTCTCTACATATCCAAGGTCGACATTTCCTTTTCTTTTCATTTTAGAAATTTGAAACGGAAAAGGAGAATTGTTTCACTCCGTCACATCGAAAAACAAAAACGTCACTAAAAGGACAATTTCCAACCATTGTTTCCATGATAATTGTCAACCCTTCCAGGCCCAATATCAAAATACTAATTCACCTTGCAGGTTGCCATACATTTATGCTATTAGTTATGAGAATTTGGTGCTATATCAAGACAGAACACCCTATTTTATGATTTTCATTCTTCTCTTGTCTACTTGACATCCTACTAAAACTTAAGGGAGATAAAGATGAAACCACTTTCGAGGATTAACCTTAAGAGAGTCGTTAAACATCTGCCATAATTGATTGATTGATTAATTAAGCCATACGTTAAGTTTGTAGAGCACACTAATAACTCACCTCGCCATCAGGAAGAGGCTGAGGTTTTTCGTGGGCTGGACCCAAGAAGGACGCGTGATACAACTGAAGAAAGACAAAGCAAGGGTCCAAGGGATACCTGAACGATTCTGACGGGGTCACCAGTATAGGGGGCTCCTTTGGTCCAGCATCCGGGAGCTCTCCCATCGTTGGTGCTGATCTAGATGACTTGTTTGTGGACTGAGGGCCTCCGCCGAGGGGCATCATTCTGGAGCGAGACGCCAGTCTCTTGGTAGAATCGCTTTTACCATGTGCTGCCACTAGAGAGACAAGTAAAAATTAACGGAATGAAATTATCAAAGCTAATGAACCGTATTTTATTCGCCCTTGATTTCTGCAGGCGTGAGTCTCAAGGAAAACATTCCTGTTACTGCAGCTACCTTTAGGAAAGGCGGGCGGTGAAGACAATTCTGGAGATGACGTGCTTTTCATCGGTTCGTGGACGCTACTAGTATAACCAAGCCTATCTTCAGCTTCCTTGCTTTTCACGCTTCTTCTTTGGCGAGGAGAAGAAAATGGCGAGTGCTCAGAATGATCCAAGTCTCTTCTGTTCCTGATTGGTGAGCTGATACTGGAAGCCTTCTTTAACTTCACTTTCTTAGGAGTCTGGACACTAGTGTCCGGGTCTTGTGAACGTCCTCGTAGTTTAGGTGAACGCGAAGGAATCTGGTGACCTCTGTTTGCGCCAGAGTCGAGACTTGTGGTAAAAGCGCTTTTGTCCTGCCCAGGAAAAACTCTATCTAGAGCAAATTCAGGGCTCTCCCTGATCGCTTGAGGCTCTACGGTCAGGGAGTGGTATGGAAGTGATTTCGGTCTTTCTGCTTTTTTAGCTGGGCTGACCGTGCGATGTCGAGGGGGGTCTGTCTCTGCGGTCTCCATCTTCTGTTCCCCTAAAATTAAGAGCAAAATAATTTCAATTTTGACTGAAATCAAGGGGAAACGGGGGTGGAGGAAAAGAGAGAGAGCACGAAAGGTACATACCACCTAAGTGATTTGTGGGTATACCCCAACCCCAGAAAATTAGGATATGTATTCCAGAGGCTCGGAAAATGGTTTTCTCCATTCCACCAATTTAATGTGGACTTGTCGTGGTGATGATCTAGATTTTACAAAAGTTACGTGCTTTATATAGGTAGATCCAGCAGACCTACAATGACCTGACGCACTTCAGGTAAAAAGCTCATAACATGGAAGGACAGCAGCATGACTAGCGCGGGTCAACTCTAAGAAAGTTAAAGTGGGGTGTTGGAGGGTGAACCCTTTTTTTTTCATTCCCTGGACAGTTACTTATCTCCGTGATTGCCTTGCTCTAGGGTTTGCGGCAGTCTGCGCTATCTGTTAAACGCTCCTTACCGGTGTGGTCTGCACTATCTTCAACACTAAATGACTGTACACTCTCTTCATCACTTGCAAGCTGCAAAGAAAGGCACAACATCACCAAGATCAACAGAATTTATACGGTGGCCTAAAGTTGTCACATTTAAAATTACTCACATCATAATAAAATTACCCACATTCAGATTTACAGTTGAGCTATCTTACCCGGTACATCTCAGATGAAGACAGATATCTGGTCTCGTCCCTTCGCTTTTGCTCCAGTTTGTTCAGTCCTGGCAGACAGGAGACTGGGATTTGGTCAGCGGGGGACACACCCAATTCCGGCTAAAATGAAAACCGTCAAGTTATAGGTGACCAGTCGCGAATTTTAAGCTGTCTCGCAAGGAAAATTTAAGGACTTAACAGGACATTTAGTGGGAAACCAAGTACTTAAAAGGCCTGGTTACACGACAAGAATCGTGTAACTGACATAACAACTCTAGAGAAAATTGTGTGGCAAATTGCATATAACAATACACTCATTGCAAGGAAAAACGCTGCCACGATTCCTGGAAATAGTGTTGAATTCAACTTTCTATTATTATCAAAAAAAACATTCGTACAGGACTAAACTTACATTACATTACTCTACTTACATTACTCAACATCTCTCTACTTATTATACTACTGTAGTTATTGGATTAATCACTAGTAATCTCTAGTACATATTCTTACATATACTAATGGACACTTACTAACAGTCACTTAGAGCGTTACTTATATTACATTGCTAAACAAAACATGACTTACATTACAATACAAAGCTCACAATTCACTAATTGAGCGTACTTAAAATTACTTGAGGTACTCTACAAAACGACACCTCAGTTACTTTCTCTTAACACTACAAAGTAGATTTAGAGACAGTGCTGGTGGGAAAAAAGATAAGATTTTGGGCTTTTCCCAACATAGTATAATAAGGGACATGTAGTTTATGCAGCAATCGTCAGGGAAAAATGCCATGAAGTTTTCACAGTAGCAAGTAATGACTCTACGAAAATTGGATGCAGAAGAGCGTCTGAATGGAGTTACGCATATTTATCGTTGTAACTGCTACTTCTTTTGTTTGCCTCTGGATGTCAACAAACTGATCATCGAAATTAAACGCCAGCGTATTTTTATTACCTTTTCAAAGTGCATCTGTTTTCTGGTTTTGCTCGGAGGGACATCTGCAATCAAGCAAAACAGAAGTCACAATTAACTTTGTAATCCTTGGCAGATGAATGGAAACAAACAAACAAATAACCCAAATCCAATAGCGCTGAATTAACAAGAGCTTTCAATTGGTAAAACTGAATCAATTTACCTTCAGTTGGAGTGATGTCCAAGCTTCCACTTACGTCGGAGCATTCTGACTCTCTCATCTAAAGTGATAAAAAGAACCACCGGAACAATGCATTTCACAGAATATCTGTTTATATTTAATAAACATTTTGCTTTAAATTTCGACTCACCGTGAAAACATTAGGTCCCTTCCTAGGGCTCCTGCTAAGGAGCCTGTCCCTTCCTTCATAGACCTCTGAATCCATGGACCCCGCTGGTGTGCTTGATGGAGTGTCCATGCTTCCGGTTGGCGTGTAGATTAGGACTGGGTCTAGTTGAGGCGGTCCGCGGGTTTTGCCTTCATCAGTGCTATCAGTACTGTCCAGCTGCCAGTCACGAGTGTGAAGCGATTCTTCATGTGCTAGCGTTGAAAGAAAACAGGAAGGTTAAACAATTTGACGACCTTACAACGAAGGGCTGCCAATAGTAGCTTGAGGAACGAGTGCCGGTTTCGGTAGATCCTTGAGGAGGACGTTCGGATAGTTTCAGAGTCTTACAATCCTACCAAGGAATAGCGAGAACAATTGCATTCCTTAAGATGTCTCGTGAGCAAGGAGCCGTAGGGCGGGATAAGCTTGAGCCGTAAATTGAAGAGGAAAAACCTCGGTCCATAACTTGCAGTGAAGACCTTGAACTCGGTTAATAAGAGGTATATAGCCAGCGTGAAGAGCGGGAATACATGTGCGGGCGAGTCACAATTAATTTTAGTATTATTTCTGATTGGTTGAGAAGGTGGCCCAAGTTTTTTGTGCCAATCGCCAAGTCTAGGAATGCAAAACCGAAGCAATTGCACGTTAATCACACCACTTTTAAGAACACAATTCCCGTTTCCGAGTAAAGAGTACTTGCCGGTACCGGTCTTGGCTTAACGACAACAACAGCAACAACACAGGACACCCAGTTAGTCCCGGGACACAATGAACTGACAAACCTGTATCACGTCCACCAATTCTCTCCGAAGTTTTGATTCGACCGACCATGTCTATAATAACTGAGCCGCTATCTGTGCTGGTGCTCACCACATCTCCGTGTTTTTCACTGTGTGGAGACAAAACTGAAGAGAAGAGGAAAAGCTTGAGAAACATCAGCAGAAACACTGACCAGGTAAATGAAAGCAACGTTTTATTTAACTTGACCTTCGTCATTGTCAACGCCAACTAGACAAGGCCTGCAATTGCTAAGGCTGGAATCAAGCGCAGTTTTCCCCTTTATACAAACACAATCCAAAAAGACATTCCAAATCTTTAGTCAGTCACAACCAAGTTAAAGTTGTTAAGTCCAAAGACAGTTGGTCCCAGAGTTTCGAATAGGCCAATTCCGGGAAGCCTTTTGGCTCAGTGTCAAAACAAGTCTTCGTGCGAAACCATTCATATGAAAATGTGTTTCTCCTATAGGTTCATTTTCATGTAAATCAAACTCATTTTCATTTGAAAGGTTTTGCACAAGAACACGTTTTGAAACAGAAGCACAAGATAACTCAGAAATAGCCTAATGCTCAACACGCGCACATTATTCAAGTTGGCCAATATGAAAATACTGTTCACGTCAGTCTACAAACACTACATGTACTGCATTCTCTTGTCTGAGCGACAACTTTGGCTCGATGTTAGTAAAAGAAACGTAAACTGAACAAAGTCAAATTTGAACAAAAACACCCACTTACAAGTATAACAACAAAAACGCGTTCATGTAAGGAAGACTCTAGTGGCAAGATGAAAAAAAACTTCATAAACAATACACATTTTTTTTTCGAATACCACACAAGTTTTAATCCTACATTAATTCACCTTAATTGTGTTAATCCCAAACGTTTTCGTCTGAATAAGGTGCTAAATGATATGGGGAAAAATTTCAGTGGTAAGGGCCAAAAAACAACAGAATACTGTCACCAAGTTTGAATCTTTTAAAGATAAAGGGAACCGAGGTGGTGTTTAAGAAACAAGAAAAACAACCAAACTTACATTCACCAATTTGAGGATCATCCACTATAGCAGTACTGACGTCACTATCCAAATACGATGAAGTAGCCCTATTCTGAATGCGCATGATCCAAGATATGTTTCCGCTGGGTCGACGGATAAAGATCTCGGCCCAGCCTTGACACACACATTGACAGTTCTGTAGATTGATAGGAACAAACGGTTCGCTGTGCCGACGGTCAGAAACAACGCTGCTACAATTTTCCTCTGTCTTTGCCGCCCCCTCGATGCTGCTTTTTCTCTGAGTACCCGCTGGAGCCTGAGTACCAGTCACACGACTTTGTACCGCGCCTTGTGCTTGGTCGCTAGAGGCCTGGGAAGCAGAATCCTCTGTCGGACCATCTGCACCAGTGCTTTTCTGTTTTGCAGATGTATCCGCCTTAGTCTTCTCTTTGTGTGTATGATTCGCAGTCCTTTGTCGCAGCGTCAGGCAGTTGTCACACACACCGTCCAGCCCAATGTACGTACCGGAGGTTGTTATCGTCACGATCGTGTTAGAAATCATCCATGTGCGTGAATGACCACTAGCCAGCATGAACTCCACAGCTTTAGTCCTAATCAACAAACGTTTACAATCATTTTGACAATAACTGCAGAAATTTTCGCGCGCTCTTTGGTTAATTTTCACTGAGGGAAACACTGATACTATTGTGCCTTCTGTCGGGCTAATACGATCCGTGACACAAAGCGGACTTTAACTACAAAACCAATACAAGAGCGTCTCAATCCTGACCTGTTTGGTTGTGACATACAAGGAGCAAATGTGTATCTAGCCATCATATCCATACACACTTCACTCATCTCAGAATGCAGCTCGCACGCTGCGTCAGTCTCCTTGTGAACAACGGGCGAATTCGACCGATGATGGACTTGGGGCGAGGGCTGATTGGTAGAGCTTCCACTTCGGGATCTGGATGCTGCTAAATGAGGGCTGTCTGGTCTGGCGTCATAACGCTCCGGGATAATAGCACTTGATTTAAGACCCTATGACGAAAGGAACATTCTTGGAGATTAACCACACTGTTGAAATGGCATGAGGCAAAAACTTCTTGATAAGCAGGGGTTGACCTTCGATCACACTTTCTTTTACGCGGTGGCGGAGAAGAGGAAAACAGATCGTCTGATCACAGGTTAGCCAATGGTCTAGATTACAAAGTTAACCTTAGAAGCACTGTTTGAATTGAATTTAAAGCAAAGAAAATGTGGAACGTTGCTCAACACGATATGTCCAGCTGTTTGAAAGGACTCGGAGGGCTGACTGGACATGTTCTGCGTTACAGTCCGCGATTCTTGATCATTTGGCTAAAAAACATTGGCTTTGGGCAAAAGACTAAGTTCGGACTCAAATGAACTAATAACCTTTTTATTTCAAGGAATCCTGCTGCAATTTCATTTGATGTAATATATCAAACAAGAGAGACCGTGTTTGGCCACATTTCCAAAGACGAGAAGAGAGTTGAAAATACGACGCGCAGCGGAGTATTTTTGACGAACTTTGGGGTGTTTGGAAATGTGGTAAAACATTGTATTGTGAGTGTTTGATATATCTTCTCAATCGAAACTGAAACTAAGGAGAAAACGGAGAAATAACATCGTAAAAATCTGTGCTAATTAAGATCAGATATCCAAACACCGTCATGGTCATGATTTTCTTTGTTTAAACTTGATGAATTATTAAGAATCATTAAGGGGTTTGAGATATCCCAAGCGACAGCTGCGTGACCTCTGATGTCCAGGCTCTCTCTTACCTTGCTCACAAATCCAACAAATGCTTTGCGGTAAGCCACACGTGATCGCACGAACCACGCGGCAATCACGTGATAGGCAAGTGTCACTGTGTACTGAGAATACCTGTAGTGAGGAAAGAAACATTTACACGAAAACCAAATCAACCAAGGTTAACTCGCTTTTTACTAAACATAATAAATTCAGTTAAAGTTGACTTAATTTATAGAATAGAAACTATGAATTACAAGTAAAAGAGAAGCAAATTCACACGTTTTTTTTTTTTCATTTTGACTGCAACATAAGTTTTTGCCAGAAATGAAAACTTAAGCATCCCTCTTTCAAGTTCTTCCACATTGCAATCCTTTCCAGCCCGCCACCGTTAGCTATTCTAACTTCCTCATAGACCTTAGCGCGGTTTTGGAAGCCATCTTGAAGGGTAGGCAACAGCGTCTTAAATCATAGTGTTTGTATGGAAATCTGATGGCAAATAATTTTCTTCAGAATTGAATTATGAACAATTCAGTTCTTAAGAGCAAAGTAGAGATACTAGACAAGGGACAGCATTGATCCAATTTGAGGGATGTAGCTGTGCCAGAAAGTGTCCAGTACCGATTTTAATTTCCCTGCAAATTTCTAAGATTTTTTTTCCAAGAACGTGTACGCGGCTTACAGGTTTGCGCCATTTTGCAGAAAAAAATCGTCCCATACCTCCCTGCCTGACGTCGAGAGAACAGACTACCACCGGTCTAAATAGAGTGCAAACAACGGACTGGGCGTACCTGAAGGGATCGGTGTAAGGCAGACAAATAGCAAACACATGTTTGTACTGACTGTCCTGGAAACTAACATACAAATGAGGCAAGTGAACCAAGCCTGCAAAGAACACAAACTTATTCATGAGTTTCTCAAAGATGATTTCCAGTCCGTGCTGCGCAGTCTCAGCACTCTAATGTTTCAGTGCGAGTCCCACTCGATGGAATGCAAATCCGTGTAATTCTTTACGAACTGACTACCTTATCTTTGAGGCATTTTAAATTCTTTTTCCAACAGTTTCTTTGATTTTAACAGCTACGAAGTTGTTTCGTAGAGTGATATAAAAAAGAACGAAGCATAAAGCTTCGCATCCATAATGGCGGTTCGCATGAAACTTTAAATCAACTTATCGGACGCTGATCGTAGTTACATGTAACTTTTCTTAGTGACAGTGTCGCTCATTCTTGGATCTGTTTAGAGCTGTTGCTGCAAACACGCATTTATATACACAGTGCTAAAGACGACTGTTGCAAAGATAAAAAATCGATTGTTACAGCCGTATTTAAGACTGTGCATATTAAAGCGTCGGATTGAAGCCGACAAAAAAATTTTACTGTACCTCGTGCATGTGGTAGCCTGCGAGCAGGTTCTCATGCGTTGCGGCAGGGGCAAAGTCGATGAGAAACAGTAGGAGGAGCAAGATATTTTTCGACGTTTTTCTACTTTTCATTTTGAATGCTTTTCAATTCAAACTGTGTCTTCCTCTATGGCTGGTAGTATGGTTTACGGTGTTCCGCAAACAGTACCTTTCAAATGTCATATTACCTGTGTGGTCTTTGGGTCTATAATTACCATTTTACGGTATATGTGGTATTCCCCACAGGAGTGAGATTAAACATGCTGTTAAAAGGCGACAGTAGCTATCTCATCTAGCCGATGAACTCCGTGGCAAAAATATAAACATCAAGAGGCTTTACCTGAAAGAAACTCCAGCATAGGGGCTGCCATGGAAACCGTAGCGGAGATCTGGGTCAAGCGGACCAAAAGAGCTGGAAGAAGACTGTGAACAAAATCAAAACAGGGCACTGAAGAAAACAACGGGGATAAGAAGTAATTTATAACACTATTAAAAACCAAAACTGAGATTCACTCGGCGTCATATGTATATCTCTGTTCTCGGTGTTTGGAAACCTGCTGAAATACTGTCTCTCGTGTTTGCTATCTTACTCCTATATGACAGAGAGAAGTAAACCTGACGTGCTTTCAAAAAATGTCTCAGATGATCTAACTGAGCAGGCAACTGTGTTGGACAACAGCTTTGTCACACTGTCGCAGACATGACATTTGTATAGAGCATTTTGTCACGCATGACAGCTTTTGTGACTGTCTTAATGCGGCCGTTTATTTCAATGTCACGTCACATCTGACGCCTGAAAGCTGTATACAGTATCTTGTCAGGGTCTCACGTGTTACAGATTTTACATAATCTTGTCATGGTCTCGCGCGTGAAAGTTGTATAGGCGAATCTTTGCTGACGTCATTGTTTACATTTTTCCTCATTAGCATACGACTTGACTCAGAGAAGCCGTGGCCGTATATATGACCTAAATGCAAAAGTTGAAAAAGTTGATTAAGTTGAGCAGTTTGTGCAATTTTCAGCTCTTTGCAAGCAATATTGAAGGAAATATCAGCCATCAAAAATTGCGAAATTGCTGTGTGGCAAAAAATTTAATGAGCCATACATTTCTCTGTAAAATTTCGAGGTTTTAGAAGAGAATTTCTCCGAAACCATTCCGTGTATTGGGCTCAAATTTTCAGAG